CTGTCAGAGAGTGAATCTGCGTCTCATTCAGCTCGTCTGCTGCTTCCGTCAGATATGTTTTATGTAGTATAGTTTCACAAAACTAAAGTCAGCTTCAGATTTTGAAATTATACAATCTAATTTAGATTAAAAACTGCTCATGCTACATGTATGCTGCATCTTTGTTTGGATCATGATTAAAATGCAGTGGTTTCCTCTCATTTTAAATGGAAAGAGCTTAGTTTGTTTATATGAAGAGGTTTCTTTTATTTGTGTAACTTATTTGATTTGGGGTTTGTTTTAAAATTTCAATTTAGTTTTGTTATATTTCAAATTTCACAAAGAAACGTGCAGCAATAGCCTAGTAAAACGACACCTTTTTATTTACTGCATAATTTGTTCATTCTGTTAAAAAAAATCGTGAATTGAATCAAATCGTGAGTTGAGTGAATCGTTACATCCCTACGATTTTCTCAATATTTAGATTTTTTTGCACCCTCAGATTCCAGATTTTCAAATAGTTGTATCTCAGCTAAATATTGTCCTATCCTAACAAACCATACATCAATGGAAAGCTTATTTATTCAGCTTTCGGATGATGTATAAATCTCAATTTCGAAAAAGTGACCCTTATGACTGGTTTTGTGCTCCAGGGTCACATAAATATTTCAATGAAGCACTTTCCTGCAGATTTAATTGACAGAAAGTGACTTTCCTGGCAGCCTAATAGAGTCGATGTCAAGAAGGAAGACATTCGTATTGTTCAAAGCAGAGTCACGCAGAGATGTGAACAGCTATGAGATCCGCTCAGCCCAATCACAGTGAGGTCAGATCAGTGTCATGTGTGTGGGCATCCATCACCCACTCATCCAGCGTGACTCACGAGTCCTTCACGAAAGCAGCGCAGGTCTGAGGACACGTACCTGCTGCACTCCTTCAGCTCCAAACGCGGCCCTGATCTCCTCCAGCTCACGGCTCAGCTCCTCCATGGCCATGTTCTTAGCGGCGAGCTCGTCCTCCATGTTTTGTATGCGGCTCTGAGGCTCCATGTGCGCTTCGGACGGCTGCAGATCTTCCTCCTGCCGGAGAGATCAGGACAGAGTGAGAAGATTCATGAGCGCTCATTATAAAGCCCTTTCCATAGAAACGGTGACGGAGCTCGGTCAGGAGAATCTGAGAACTGCCTACTGAATCCCAGGGTTATTATAGTTCACTAAAACTAAAGCCAAAAACCATTATACATTTTAATATACAGTGGTGTGAAAAAGTGTTGGCCCTCTTCCTGATTTCTTAATATATACATATACACACTGCCGCTCAAAAGTTTGGGATCAGTAAGTCTTGTAATGTTTTTTAAAAAAGTGTCTTCTGCTCATCAAGGCTGCATTTATTTGATCAAAAATACAGAAAAAAAGCGTAATCTTGCAAAATGTTATTACAATATAAAATAATGGTTTCTATTTCAATATCCTTTAAAATATAATTTATATCTGTGATGCAAAGCTGAATTTCCATCATCATTACTCCAGTATAAAGTGTCACATGATCTTCAGAAATCATTCTAATATGCTGATTTATTATTAGAATTATCAATGTTGGCAACAGTTACGCTGCCAAATATTTTTTTTGGAAACTGCAATACTTTTTTCAGGATTCTTTGATGAATAAAAAGTTAAAAAGAACAGCATTTATTCAAAATACAAAACTTTTCTAACAATATAAATCTTTGCTATCACTTCTGATCAATTTAACACATCCTTGCTGAATAAAAGTTTTAATTTCTTTCAAAAAAAGAAAGAATA